CTCACCAAGTGTCCACGCAGCACACAGGAATAAGATCTGGGCACTGTCCTCCGGGAGCTCAGTAGCTCACCGAGTGTCCACGAGCACACAGGAGTAAGATAGACAAGTTGAAGTTTCACTTATTTCCATTTTGTGTGTACGTGTTCTGTCTCCATGCGTGCACATGTGCCACACACATGCAGTGCCTATGGAGGCCAGAAGAGGGTGCTACAGACAGGTGTGAGCTGCCACGTGGGTGCTAGAAACCAAAGCTGGGTCCTCTGCAAGAGTAAAAAGTACTTTTAACTGCTGAGCCATCTCTCCAGCACCAACATTGATTTGGAAGCAGCTGAAATTCAGAGACACAGAAAGCAAAACGTGAATCTGTACCATGCCCTCCAGCCCAGGGAGAGTGTTCACAGCTGTCACCCAGGTATAACCGTCTGCAAGGAACAGGCGGTTCCGAGAGTCACAGCTTGACTCCCTGATTGGCCAGTTCTCTTGGAAGCAGGTGCTAAACTTGACACTTTGTAGATCACATCTGTCCACACCAAACCTGCAAGGCCAGCGTCTGGCCCCTGGGTGCACCCTCATAAGAGTGGACTGAGGGTCAGAACTCTCAAGAGCTGACACTGTAGATAAAGAGGATGCTCCTAGGAACGTCTCAAATAGTTCAAAAATCACATGACAGCAAGTACTGAGAGTAAAGGCGCACAGTAGACAACCCTGCAGGTGAAGTAAGCAGGACTGAGGATATGCGTTAGTGCGTTAAGTCCTTAACGCACAGACACTGTGAGTGAGGGACTTGGGTTCAAATCCCCAGAACTAACATAAAGCCAGGTAGAGTAGCATATATATGTAATCCCAGAACTTGCATTGAAATGACAGACCGAGAAAGCAGAATCCCTGGAAAGTTTGTGGGTCGGTACACAGGTGAACAACAACAAAAATATATTTTATCTCAAACAAATCAATGGTAAGGACTGACACCCAAGATCTTCCTCTGACCTCCGTGCATGCGTGCATGCACTGTGGAATACACATGCCCTGACACACACATACATGTTGTAGGACTTGAAATAACCACACAGAAACTGTATTAACCAATAACTAATTAATTAATTAAGTCAATGCCTAGCCTATTAGCTCTAGCTTCTTATTGGATAACTCTTACATCTTAATAACCCATTTATATTAATTTGTGTATTGCCACATGGCTGTGGCTTACCGGCATGGTTCCAGCTTGTCTGTCCCAGGTGGAGGCTACATGGTGTCTCCCTGACTCCGCCTTTTTCCCCAGCATTCAGTTTAGTTTTCTCTGCCTAGCTCTGTTCTACCCTGCCATAGGATCAAAGCAGTTCCTTTATTCATTAACTAATAAAAGCAACACATACACAGAAGGACTTCCCACCTCTCTCTCTCTCTCTCTCTCTCTCTCTCTCTCTCTCTCTCTCACACACACACACACACACACACACACACACACATACACACACACACACATTTAAGTAAATATGGGTAAGATAACTCCATATTCAGAGCCAGGTACTAGTTGCTCTCCTGTTACTGTGAGAAGACACCATGACCAGAAGCGACCAGAAGAATTTCTCTTGCCTTATGGTTCTAAGGGATAAGAGCCCATCAATGTGGGTAGGCAAGGTGGCTAGCCGCAGGCATGGCAGCAGGAACAGGAAGCTGAGAGTTCACGTCTTGCACCACAAGCCTGAAGTAGAGAGAGCAAGCTGGATGGGGTGTGAAACTTTTCATTTCAAAGCCCTCCTACTGGCATACTTTCTCCAGCAAGGCTGCTCCCCCTAAAACTCCCCAAATTCTGCCACCAACTGAGGACTAAGTGTTCCAATGCCTGGAACTATAGGGGACATCTCATTCAAACCCTCACACAGCCTTGAAGGAGGTCTGGCTCTGACTGTGTTTAGTGCCTGGTTGTGGTAGGAACAGATTTAGGAGACAGATCTCTGTGTTCAAAGCTCAGCTCTTCATGTGTCAATGGAGAAGGGGAATCCCAGCCTATGGTTATAGAAGAATGACAATCTAGGTAGAACACCTGACCCAGAACATGCTTGGTGGGCAACCAGTGGCAGGCGCCTGCCATGGGGCTGCCTTGCTTCCCACATGCAATATATACCTTCTCAGTTGTAAGCAGCAGAACTTGCCCTGGCTGGATATGACCTGGGTAGCTAAGTATGCAGAATACCAGAACAGCTGAGCTACTGGGTATGAACATTGGTGGGAACCCAGGGGCTCTATCCCATCAGCAGTGCACTAGCTGCTGGAAGGAATGTACAGGCAGCTGTGCTTGCTGGGGGGGGGGGGTGCTGCCCCTTTAAACGGCTGTCAATCATCCTTCAAGGTTTTGTTTGTTTCCCTTAAGTCTCTCCGGAGAGAAACTCAAGGAATCAGCCAAAATCTCGTAGGTGACCTTTGCTCATTATAATCTCATTATAATGCTAAATTTTCTACCCTGGAGATGTTCCTGTCTGCCATGTTTGAACATGTGACATATAAGGAAGCCTGTTCTCAAACTGAGCATGCTCAATAGATGTGTCTGCCTCTACAGACGATGGTGGAACTTTCTGAAATGAATATGCATGAGTTTCGATGGGAAACACCTGTCTTTGCTGGCTTTTCTTGCTTTGATAGCCACTGCTTTGGGAGTTATCCCCGGTGATCTCCTACTCATACAGCAACACAACCCTCACTATCTGTCCGCTGGTTCCAAATACTGCTTTGTTCTCACCCCATTGTGCCATGCTACAAGGTCGTGCTGAAGAGGTGCCCTGGCTCTAAGAAATAGCCCAGTTGCTGTGTGTTACTTCCGATTTGTCCTCATTGGGAACCAAACTTATCCTAACCATCACTTATCTAGCCTCTCTTTCTCCTTCTTCCCTTACCCCAACCCAGGAAGCTGGGAGAGTATCTCCAGGTGGTAATAGTTCTTCAGAATGTTTTAAGTGAATCTGTCTCACCTCACCCTCAAAGTGTTAAAAGATTCCATCCTATTGAAGTCGAGCTGTACTAGCTAATTTTTTTTTCACTTTTACACAGCTAGCCACTACCAAAATATCCGCAGCACTGTTGGCTTCACTGGGTCTCTCTCCTCCCATGGTGAGGTGGGACGTTGTGGTGGTGGTGGCACAGCAAGGAAGAGGCTATTCACCTCCTGACAGACAGGGAAGAGCCTGGGGACAAGATAAACTCAAGGCCTCAGGCACAGGGACCCATTCACTCTGGCTAGGTCCTACTGCCTAAAGTTTCCAGAGCCTCCCCACAGTATGGTGTTTGTGAACAAATGTCCATTCACCAAAGAAGAACACTAATGGCAGACGCCATCATCATCATCATTCTACCCAAGCTTGGTCAGTGAAACAGTGAGTTCCTTGCAGCTACTTACAAGAATGTGAGTGGGGGGAGGGGCTGCCTACAAGAACAGGGATGACTCAAAGGCAGGTGTGTGACCAAAGATCCCACTCCAACACGGGTGACACTCACCTAAGATGCATCCCTGAGCTCACTGAGTACTTGCAGACAGCTCTGCAGGCAGAAGAACCTCCAACTCCCAGCAACTCTCCCTGCTTTTTTAACTTGCAGGAAGATCTTTGTGGTGTAGCAGGGCTAGAGAGGGCACAAGAAGATGGCCAGGACACCACAGCTCCAGGAACAGGGCTGGATGAGTCCGTTCTAAGCCCCACCAGAGGGAGCATTGCCAGCCTCTGCACCACACACAAGCATCCGCCGGGGCCTCCAGTACTTGTCTGCTCCAAACGTTTGTTAACTTTGCACCTACTTAGAAACACCACCTACCAACTTCTCACCACCAGCTCAGCGTAAGCTAAGAACTGAAGGAAGCTTAGTCGATGTTTAGTAACAAGATCTGGGCAGCGTTTGCACGAGGGCCTACGGTGTCACCTCTAATCAGTGGCAGAACAGGAGCTGCACACATCGGCATCTGTCACGAATAGGGTCACCCTGAAGGACTGAGTTGTCATAGAAAGGCCAGGAGGACTGTCCGTGAAGAACACTCAGAATCCAAACGTTTTTTCTTATTAAGATATTTATTGCTTAAGACCTCTTTAGTAAGCATAAATTCTGTTCTAAATCATGCCCATAAATTGTGTTCCCAGCTTTAAAAAAAATCAGTGTGTTTTTTAATTACATGTGTGAGTGTGTACATGTGTGTGCGTGTGTATGTGAGTAAGACACTCATGGAAGCTAGAGGTATTGGATTTTCTGGAACTGGAGTTACTGGTTTGTGTGAGCCACCCAACATGCAAGCTCTAAACCAAACTCAGGTCCTCTGGAAGAACAGGAAGTGCTCTTAATCACTGAGCCGTCTCTCCTACCTGATTCTCTTTCTGACTTGATCATTTGAAGATAGTAAAATCAGAAATTTCATGTCAGTTGAACAGTATAGAGTGTATGAGTGTAGATACAGGCTAGAGAACAAGACAAGAGGCCACAGGAGAAGAAAGAGCTGTTGGACGACTAGGGAGGACAAGAGAACACAGGACATTAGAAAGAAGAAAGGCAGTTGGGGCCTGGTAAGGGACAAGGAATATATCTGGAAAAAATTCTCCCCTTCTGCAATTCTTTCTTACCACATCCCCAAAATATAACACATGCTCCTTGTCTTCAATTTTATCAAGACTATGATATATCTAACACATAGTAGACTGTACACTCCTGCAAACAAAACAAAACACAAACACAAACTCGATGGAACAACAAAGAAACAACATGAATCTCTCAACTTTCCGTGTTAACCTCAGAAGTCTTTATAAACAAATAAATCCATATTTCCTGGGCTTTAAACTTGAGAGTTGAAGCATAAAGTTTCAGTTCAAATAAATTTACAAATATTTAACATCTCAAGTCAAATGTGCATAATTGGTCTTTTCTTCATTAAAGTTGTTGGCTCAGAATTATTATATTCCATTTTCAACACATTGTTAATTTCCTCTTTCTTTATTTTATCACTATGTTAAGAATTCTTAGAACAAAGCTGTTTTTAACCTGGGTTAATTCTGTTTTATTTCTATAAATACATTCTGGACACAAAATATTACTTTTCGAGAGATAGATTAGTTAGTAAGTTTTGATCTTAAAAATTTCCCAATAACACATCTTCCAAGGGCAGGTTTCTTGGCGTCTTTAGCTTAATCTAATGCATTTTATATCCTGTTGCCTCTTGGGCTTGGAAGGGACTCGGGGGTGTTGTTTAGTTGGTGTTTTCTGCAGAAGTCCCAACTGTTGCTGTCATTCTTGACCAGAGACGGGGGTCATCTCACGCCTGCTTCCCATAGGCCATGTCTATTTCTTGCATAACAGTTTAATGGCCCAGTGCCTAGCCACAGCGGCAGCTGTCATCATCTTGGCCCTTACTCTGAGAAGAAAAGGACAGAAAACAAGATCAGTCATTGAATTGTCTGGGGCATCTTCGCTGTGCAGACTAAAGAGAACCCGGCGAAGGCGGCCCTTGTCTTTCCAGTAAGCTCATGTCACACTTATCCTTATGAAGAGAGACATCTGACTTTCGTATTCACACCAACGCCGTGTGTTTGATATTCACTAATTCATTCTCTTTTGAATCTCTGTATGCATGCCGTGTGTGTATGTGTGTCACTTAAGATGGACACATGCTGTTACATGGGCATGGTGGAGGTCAGAGGGCAACCTCAGGTGCCATTTCTCACCTTTCACCTTGTCTGAGACGAGGTCTCTGTTGATCCCACTGGGTGCCACAGGCAGTCTGGCCCAAGAGCTTCTGGGGATTTTACTGTCTCAGCCTCTCTCTGTGTAAGAGGATCGGGATTATAGAAGGCACTCTAGTGCATGGCTTTTCATGCACATTCTGGAAATCTAAAGGCAGGATCTCACACAAGCCTGGCAAGTCCTTTACCAAGTGGGCCTTCTCTTTATTAACTAATGTTTTTGTTCCTTCAACAAATATTCAGTCCTGCCAAACATCACCCTTTGTGAATCAGGAAAGAGAAGAGACATACTGTGAGAGAAAGACACAGAGAGCTGACAAGACCTTCTGGAAACCTGCAGGAAGGTCAGCACCCCCAGGGGCTGGCACACACCAGGTGGGACACCCATGCAAGTCACACAGAACTGGACCCAAAAGAACTTCAGGTCTCTAATCTGACAAGGTGTCCACATGGCCATACATGCACAGCTCAGCCTGAAAGATGCGTGTCTCAATCAGCAAGCAAGCCATTAGACGCCCACAGAAATGTGTCTACGCAAGGACGTTCTCATCAGACAGTCAACCCTTCTCTTGTGGAGTATCACTCCCTGCTATTGGGAGGCAGTCACCTGCTTAGCCGTTCTCCTACCAGTAAAAACTAGGGCTGTCTCCATTCTTTGACGATTATGACTGAGACATCTATAATCATCTTCATCGAAGTCATTTTGTAAACATATGTTTTCACATCCTTGAGTAATTACTTAGTAATTTCGTATTGCCAAGCCATGGAGTAGACACAGCTCAGCGCTTTAGGAATTTACTAGCGAGGTCTCGAAAGGGAGTGTGTAGTCGTACAATCCTATCCAGATACATCACAGTTCTGGTTGCCCCACACGCTCACATTTGGTCCTTTTCTTGTAGAATATTACTAGGATTGATTCAGAGCAATGGTCCCATTTTCTCCATTGCTCTCTGCCAGGATTGTGCAAGTCTCGTGAGGTTGGGCTTCTTGTTTATCCTGGTCTCCCCAAGGTCCCCAAGGTGCAGCACATTGCATGCCATGTCATTGACCCTTACTGAGAGTCTGAGAAGGAAGAGATGTCCTCTCTCCAATGTGGCTCTGAAGCTACCCCTCTTCTGTGTTGTGTTCAGCCCAATCCCTCCATAACACCAACACCTCCCTAACTGAATGCACAGAGTTCTGGCAATGCCTGTGCAGGGCCTTCTTCCCCCAAGCCGGGGTCCTGATCTGACTTCATAGGGACTCCATTTCTTCCCATCATCTATCCACGTCCCAGATCAAGCCCTGAGTTGTTATTTTTTTCTCTTACAAGTGTATTTATTTACTTATTTTCTTGTTTATTTCTTGAGATGGAGGCTTATATGGTCCAGTTTGCCCTTGAGCTCACTGTAAGGTCTCGGGTGACCTTGAACCTCTGATCTTTCTGCTCCCCATTCCCCGGGTTCTGAGATCATAGGCAGAACCTACCACACCTGGTTTATGCAGTGCTAAGGACCACACCCAAGACTTCTAGTGTTCCACTCACTGAGCTGGGCCCTCCTTGTACAAATTTACACACTCTATTTATAAAGCTGCAGCTTTATCAAATAACAGATAGAGTCGTTATCAATACATACTGCTGTTTGGGTGATTCTTTTAAAGCCCAGCTGCTTACCAAAGCCAACTAATCATCAAACAGAGGCTCAGGTAGACAGCGCCGGACACAAACGCTCCTGCTTCCTGTGCCTTGCTCTGCCGAGTGTCACTCTCCCTCTCATGAGAGTGTTTGAGTCTGATCCTCTCAGCCAAGTGGCAGATGGAGAAATTGTTTGCAATAGAGATGAGAATATTTTATCAGACTTCCTACAAATGGGGCCTACTGAATTTTCATCTGCCAGCTAAGCACTGATCAAAAAAAAGGGGGGGTCTCAACAGGATATCCTGTAAGGGTTCCTCAGGAACGTGTGTGTTTTCGGTCAGCAGTCAGGGGAGAGATGATAAATCTCTAAGGGCAAAGAAGCGCACCCTGGAGCAAACACTTCCCTGGTCCTTCCAGCCTTCCAAAGGCCGCGCAGCAGAAGGGAACCTGGGTCAGGATCCAGGAAGTCTGTGTTCCAGACCTAGTTCTGGCCCTGACTCCTTAGGTCACTGTCTGTTGGTGATGTCACTTTTCAGTACCTCAATCTTCCATCTGTACAACAGAAAGAATGAATCCTCTTCCCACCAGCTGGCTTGTGAGTCCACATGGGGAAGTGAGACCATGAGTTGTTTACCGGATCTTTTGTTCTTGTCCCTCAATCACAGCTTCAGAGAAAAATTGCTACCGATGTTTATTAGACAGCTACTGTATGCCGTCTATGGGTCAGGTAGATCCATGTGCACAAGGCATGAATTACCTCCGTCAACACTAACCAACCCCCGGGAGGGGATGCAGGGAAGGTCACCAAGAATACATGGAAAAGTAGCTCATAGTCACGGACAGGCCAAAGACTCCCATTTCAGGAGTGCCTGGCATCTGACCAGCAGATGCTTCCAGAAACCAAGGCTTAGGACAGCCTGAAAGAGCAGGAAATGTTCTCCCTCACAGGCAAATTAAAACAGAAAACCAGCAAGATTTCCCAAGCGTGGTGCTGCCTCTCTCTCGCAAACACACACAAATAAGGCGTCAAACACAGGGCTGCTGTCCCCACATCAGCAAGGTGAGAGCCTTGACTATGTGTAGTCTCGCTGCCCCGCCCCCCCTGGAGCAGGTAACACTTTAGGCTCGGAGATGGCTCAGTTGAGATACAGAGAGGAACGTGTCCCAGAGGCAAAGGAGGAAACAGAGGTGCTTTTTCAAAATCTCGGAGCTGTTTCTTAATGAATTTCTCATTTTGAAATGTCTTTCAGTTGAGGGAAAACTAGTCTTCCCTAAGGCTGTTNAAGTCCCTAGACTTGGTCCCCCCAGTACCAAACACACAAGATGCAAAAGCAAAAGGAAAAAGAATGGAAGAAAGAGAGAGGGGGAGAGAGAGAGAGAGAGAGAGAGAGAGAGAGAGAGAGAGAGAGAGAGAGAGAGAAAGTAGTTAGTCCTGAAATCATGTACACACAGCAGGTTGTATTTATAGAGCTCTGTGTGTGTGAGAGAGAGAGACAGAGACAGAGAGAGATAGTTTGGTGGATAGAAGCAGGGAGACTTGATTCCCATCTCTGCTCAGTCGCTTCAAGCCATATGACCTGCATAAACCACGCGGCTTCTCTGAGCCTCCATCGTCTGACTTAGAAACAGAATAAGGACTGGGGCCTAGCCATTGAGCATCTCAGGGGCACCCTGGGCTTCTCTCTGGATGCTGGGAGGGTGAGCTTCTCCGATTCCATTCTCAGATGCCTACATGGCAGGTGTGCTCTGTCATTCTGGGATCCAGGACCGGCACAGGAGGGACTGCAGGTGGCACTGGGCAGGGGGGTCTGTGTCCCCTTTGTGCTGCAAAGCTCCAGCCCCAGGCCCTTTTTGAGGCTCTCAGAAAACACAAATCGGATCCAAGGCGCCTGTTCCCAGCTCGCTTGTGTTTACCCCACCATCAGGAGGGTGCCATTTAGCCAGAACCATCATTCGCAGTCACACCAAATGGCCCATGGAAGAAAAGTTGGTTATGCTCAAAGAACAGATGACAAGTGACAGGCCCTGCTCCCGATTCCCTACAATAACAGAAGACACCAGCAACTGCCATGTGGTCCAAACACCAGAACACTCTTCTGCTTTCAAGCCCTTGCGATCTGCTGCATTCGCCCCTTCCCAGGGATGGAAGAACAGCACCTCGTCCCCAATGCAGTCAGGCACCCCTGCCTCCAAAGCCACACAAGGGCAGCACTCTCCCACTCCAGGTCTGAGTCCTTATTGATGCTCACTTTCTTTCTTTCCCTTCTTTCTTCCCCCCTCTTCCTCCTCCTCCTCTTCCTCCTCTCATCTTCCTCCTCTTTTTCTTCCTCCTCTTTCTTCCTCTTTCTTCTTCTCCTCCTCCTCCTTCTACTTACTTCTTCTTTGCAGGTAAAAATAACTCACTTGAGCCCTCAAGAGTATGTTTTTACCTGTTAGTAGTACCTGACACAGGAATGGATGCATTATATTAACAGGACTGATTTGGCTGTTTCCCAGCGTGCACAGATATCAAAACATTACATTGCACATCATCAATACACTCAGGTTTTTTTTCTTTTGTTAATTTTAAATAAAAATCTTTTGTAAAAGAAATCACTTCATCTTTCTGCATCTGGTGCTCACATAGTGAGCAGGACAAACAGGAAAAGAATTAGTTCAAGACCAAGAAAGAAGGGAGGCAAAAAGATGGCAGGTGCCCACATGCCTGGCCCCACGCCATCACTGGGCACAGCTGAATTCACCTTGCCAGGCAGGCAATGTCTCTAACCCTTTATTTTAGTTAAGGAAGGGAACCCTAAGCCTTCTGCGATAAACAACTGACTACTGACCCGAAGCCTAGGGATCAGCTCAAGTTCCAGTCAGACCGATGGGGACTGTGGGACTTCCCCAAGCCTGCTCTGGGGTAATCATTTAGCTCTAGCTCTACTAGCAGAGAACCAGTGCGCACTCCTATCATTGCTGATGTTTCACGTTTACAGAATGGACCACTGAGAAACAGCCGGGAGGCATCCGTGTCTGAAAACCGCTGTCCCCGGATGGAAGTGATAAAGGTGG